TACGCTGCTGTTCCAGTTAACCCAGATTTATGCCGCATGCTCCCGTTCTCCCCGAGTCCAGACTTTCCTGGGTTCTTATCAAGAACAGACTTGGTGAGAACACGAGTCCGTACTCATGTTCTAGTAAACTGAGAAACGGCCGTAGATCTGACCAATCAGAGGCCTCCTGTCTGCACTCACCTACAATTTTGTGGAGGTGCAGGTGTGTGTGTGTGTGCACACATGCAGACCTCTTGGTTTCTGATCAACCAGGCTTCAGATGGACCCTATAAATGGCAGCGACCTGCAGCAGGCGCCTCAGAGGATCTTTATTTGCATCATATAAAACAGTTTGTGCCGTACAGCTTTGGGACAGAAATCAAATCTGCTGATCCTCCTATTGATTGACATTAAACTGGAATCTGAAAATGATTATGTTTGCTGTTCATTGAAAGCTTTGTGTTCTTTAGGATCTTAGAGACTAAATAAAAAACAAGCTGCCATCTTCTCTGCTTTCTCTCTCCAGAGGCTGAGGCGTTTGGCACCATGCTAGTGGCCTATGGCTACATCTACCCCCTGCAGAACCATAAGAAGCTGGTGATGTGCAATGACAGCAGCCTTTACCGCTTCCAGGTACCCATCCTGCTGTCTGATGTCATCAACAGTCTGTTTGTTCGCTGCAGAGATTTACTGGATATTAAAGTGACGCTTCACTGTTTTTAACTCAGGTTCTGCTGACAGATTATTAGGACCTAACATCTAACCTGTAGTGGCTGCCAGATTAATGTCGTGATTGTTCAGGGAGACTTTGTTTATTACCGAGGGTTGATTCATCAATGAAATGATGCCTTCAAGGCAGAAGGAAATACTCGGATATCTGAGTATTCACTGGGAATAGCCCTTCTTTTTTTAGCATTTAAACAGGTAGTTTTTGTTTTTTCAAAGAATAGCGATAACAGTGGGCAGACTGGGGGGCCGTGACTGTTGACCCTTTATGCCGCTCTGCATGCATAGCACATTGTTCCTTATGCAGTTTGAATGTAGTGCATTTGAGAAACTGTTTATAATTTAACAATTTGTTCTGCCAATTGTGGTAAATATGGACTGAAAAAAACAACAGAAGTTTCCTCAAAAACAGGAACTTATATTTCAAAGTTTTGAAACCTTACAGAAAGATCATAAACTGGGAAAAGAGGATTTCTTTAGGTACTTGCAGGTGAGACACTATTTCAACAGTAACCTTAAAGAGGTGCTGAAAAAGAGCGAGTCAAGTTTCATGGAGGCATTTTTATCACTAATTAAACCCGGATCAGACGGCAAAATTATCTCCAAATGATATAAGGCCATACAGCTGTCTAAACAAGACAATACAGAATACATAAAGAGGAAGTGGGAAAAAAAATTAAGGTTAAAATTT